CAGTTCCCCCAGTGCTCACAGACACTAATATCTCTTCAAGTACCATCAGCTTAGTTGGCTCTTACAATTTTGGCCAGTATTATTATATCCATGTGGTGGGCTGGTCCCAGAGAGCAACTAAGCACCCACCAGCTGCTGGCTCACTCTCACCCCTCAGTGGGATGGAGGCAAGAATCTTATTGCTGAGCATGATGTTATATGGTATGAAATATCTCATCAGTTTGGGTCAGCTCTCCCAGCTGTGTCCCCTCCCAACTTCCCTGTTTACTGATGGGGCAGAGTCAGAAACAGAGAAGGCCGTGATGCTGTACATGCACTGGTCAGCAATAGCTGAAACACTGGTGTGTTATCAACACTGTTTTGGTCACAAATCTAAAACACAGCCCTATACAGGCTGCCATGAAGAAAGTCAACTCCATGGCAGCCAGATCCAGTACACCATCTGAAATCCCTGTCCTGCAAAAGAGAGACACTGTCAGCTTCTCCTATTTATGCTTTTGCCCTTCCTTTTCTCTTTGCGTCACTTATTGAAGAATGGTTTTAAGATTACCATGATTTGGGTTCTCTACCTAAATTACAGAATTTAACACAGAGCAACTTATTAGCTATTCGTAAGTACAGCCTTGCTTCACAGTGAAAATAGCTTTCCTTCTTAATAAGCAGTTTTATGTGTTAATGCACAACTAATAGACTGTAAGCTTAAACTCACCTTATTTTTCTCATTTTGAATTACTTCTAATAACTGAGCTGCATAGCCATCTTCTAAACACTTCTGACCTGCCACCAGAAACAGATTAAAATCTTCTCCTTTGAAATCAGCTTCTTCCAGAATTTGCTAGAAAGAAAATACTGACATTTAACTCCATGCTTATAAAAGTCAAATAAGAAAATACATGCATTAATTTCAAATTTAAATGTTGTAACTTACATACATTTTTCACATGTTAAAAAAGCTACCAAGAGTTACTACAGAAGACAAAGCAGTATTTCAACAGCACTTTTTAAGTGTAGACTACAGCATACTGTTTGGAAGATATATTTTCTACAATAACCTGCTTTTGTTCCTGGGTACAAGAACACTTCTTTCTCCAAGAAGCAGACCTTATCAAGCATCTTAGGATAAGCACCACAGAGAAGTCAATGAAATATGGAGGCTGAACTTAGCTGCCCAACGAGGGGTAGCTCTGCTAACAACTGTCTTTGCTTTGAGGTCATTTTGGTTTTACTTATAATATATGAAAAGAAATGCACACTGCTTACATGTTACTTTTAAGGAAAGAAAACTACTTACACATCTTTGTATTATGGCTTGAAGTTCGTCAACTGCCATTATAGTTTGACTGTGCTCTTCTGGCATCAAAAACTATTATAAATTAAAGATATATTATATCACATGAATTTAAAACAGATGCTGAAAAATAGTTACATTATAAAAAAAAAGTCAAGAGAGGAACAAGAACAACCTAGACAGATATTAAGAAGACTGCACAATTAAAAAAACATGGAAAAATGCATTTTTAGGAAGTGTACGCTGTATTATTCTACTCCCCATATTTGCAGGAGATAGTATTACAGCCAGGAAACAACCTGCATTCTGTGTACAGGGAAGTAATTTTTCAAGTATTATCTGGGTCATTTAAGAAGTTTGAAGGCTTTAGCTACGACTTTAGGTACACACATTGAAAACCGCAGCTAATACAGAGAGAGTCTGCACGCCAAGTGTGAATGCTCATGACACACTTCCTGTGACCAAGCTCTGAACAGAGAAGCTCCCGCTCAGCCCTGACTGGAACACTTTAACCCAGTGTCTGGGATGTGCACAGCAGATGCAACCACCGTGCCAGTTTATACCAACAGTCCAATCACAATTACAAATGCAGTATCATTTATTTCTTTCTAGTGTTTACGTTGGGGTAGTTCAGTGGCCTTTTACCTCCAGGTACTATAATTCAAAACTAAAAGCAATTAAGTTAAACATTTGAGTAATATTAAGTACATACAAAGTTTTACATAGCTAGGACCACAAATTACAAATAAAATCAAGCTTGGTTATCCCATGTGATATATCATAGCAGCAGTCACAATCTTTATAGTTTCAAGTAATGCCATGGGCCTAAACCTGGTTATATGATGACTATGAGGGTCAATTAGCCCTAGACCTGGTTAATTAGCTATCTATTCATCAAAACACAGACATCCCTGCATAAGGTCCTCAACCTTTCCTCTTATGTTTGGCCTAAGCTACATCAGACACCACCTGGATAAAAATGTAGCTGGATGATTACAGAAGAGGGCAATTCGTGAAAGCTCAAAAAGCATCAGTGTGACCTTAATTATCCCAAGAATAAACAACTCCCTTTCTATTCTCGACGGTCTGATTTAACATTTTATGTCGTGCAACTTATCCATTGTATCTAGCCTGTCATTTTAACCTGGTTATTACCACATACTTTACTAATACATGCTGTACGATTCGAGCTCTTCATTCCACAGAATGGTACTAATCCTTCCAGAACAATTTTTATGTTCTTTCTAACGCGAATACTGTTGCATTTTCACCCCTGAGTAACTTCACAAGGTACTTACAGCCTTGGGACGTGCTCCGAGCACCCACCGTGCTGCTGCAGGGATTTACCGGCCCAGCTCGCAGATGGTCTCCGGCCTTAATACTTAATCCGGTTTCTAACTAAATCTTTTCGGAGGTTTCAGCGGCAAGTGGGCAGAATCTGGATCATGTGAAACGTTCTATTAATACTCACCAAACTGCCTCCTGATAAACATACACCGTAGCCCCTTCCCTCGGCGGTACAACACAGGGGCTGCCGGCGTCAGCTTGTAACACACGGCTGAACTAAAAATCATGGAGCAGCCCTCACCTCAGCCCGAACCAGCCGGACACCCGAGCTCCGCACCGCCGCCTCTCCCAGCCCGGCTCCGCCCCGGGTGAGAGGTCGGCGGGCGGGGCGGCGGCGATGGCGATGATGGCGGCCGGGACGGGCCGGCCCCGCCGGCGGCGCGCAGGTGGGCTCCGCGCGCCCGCCCCCCCCCCGCCTGGCGCCTTGGGCTCTCCCTGTGCCCTCAGGCGGGCGCAGCGGCGGACTCGCCCAACTCGCTGTGCCGAGGGGAGCGGCGGGACGGCTCGGCGGGCCTCGGCCGGGCCGGGCCGGGTGCGTGGCGCGATGGGCGGCAGGACGGGCGAGGCGGGTCTGGGACCCGCCGTCCCCTCGGGCTGTGCGGGGACAGCCTGGCTCGGCCCGCGACAGCGGTCGTGCAGCGGGTTAGAGCGCTGCGTCCTCGTGTTCGAAGCATAACACGGCGGTATCTCCCCTCCCTGCTGCCCTTGTCTCAGGGGAGCGGCTGCCGAAGCTCCCGTGTCACCGCCCGGTCAGGGGCAGGCCGCAGGGCAGCGAGGGCGGCGGTGGCAGTAGCGGCTCTGTCTGAGCTGCCGGCGCCGCACCCGGCTCGGAGCAAAACCCAGCGGTGGGTCAGCCGGGAGGACAGCGGGGTGCAGGGGTAACGCTGGGCCGGAGAGCCGGGGTGCGATTTGCACAAAATAACTGTCAGAAGTATTCTCCCCTTTTTGAGTATGCAGAACATGGTGAATGAATGGGAAGTATGGGAAGAGTTGAGTCTGTCTGTCCTCGCACTTGTGTCTAACTAGTTGCTGAATGCTTACCAGCTTACTGAAGTCACGGCCACCAAAAGCAAGTTTCTAAGCGATTGCCTTGATTATGCTTACAGTTTAGAGGTTTTAATATTTTTTAGGTTCCTGTATTTTCCAGTGTTAAAGGAAGAAAGTACACTAATTTCTATATTTCTACATTTTTATATTTGATTTCTAGGAAATAAGCATTCAACTGCTCCAAAGAATGAAGACGCTGCTCAAAGGTATAGTTTCTGACTAACAAAAAGCGACATTTGTGTCATTTTTCCTCACTTTGAAATGTGCCTTGCATGTCTCTTCTCTTTCTCAGAGTACCATGACTACCTTCAGGAGATCGGCAGCATCATCATGCAGGCTTGTTTGGAGTGATGCTGTGTAACTTCTAACAGCATGCACATATGTGCATTGTATAATATACTAAAAGTCTATGAATCCAACCTGCACAATTGTATTTCCTTAGTAATACTTGCTTTTTGCCATCTTAACTTCTTTGCATACCTGCCATTTATACTTATTCACGTTAAAAAGCATTCAGGAAATCTACTGTAGTAGCATTTGTTTGATTTATTCCTTCTTTTACTTTGTAACCTCACACGCAATCATGTTCCAGTCCTTTTTTCTTCCCACTCTTCTTGTCTTATCCAGCTCCTATTCTCTCGACAGCACTCCATAAATTGTGTGTCCTAGGCTCTTTCTCCAGCCAGTTCTTGGTTTCCCTCTTGCAAGAAGTGTTGGGCCACCTTGAGGGGTATATTACAATGCAATTAGAGTCAATACTTTTCCTGACCGGAGTGGAAATAAAACAAACCAAGGCTGGAAACTCCTTTGTGGTTATAACAGAATTACTAGTCCAATTACTTGTTGCTTTGTTTGGCCCACATAGTGTGATGCAGAAAAGCATAAACTGCTGTATTTCAGAAAAAAGATAAAGGTATGACTGGAAATCTGTTTATGAAAATCTACCCTCTGTGTCATTCAGTGTCTGTTCTGTTGTAGGAAAGCAGCTCTGGAAGCTGCTATGAGAAAGAAGATTGAATTTGAGAAAAAAGCATTGTCTATTGTTGAACAGCTCCTGGAAGAGAACATTACTGAAGAGTTCCTTCTAGATTCTGTAGGTGTTGCAAGTTTTTGTACTGTTTTGTATCTTAGTGTGCTGCTTTTTTCTTTCCAAAGTTCTTGGAACAATTTACTGCAGTTTAAAATAGACAAACCATTGATGATTGCCTTGTTTTCAAGGGTTCTGCAGTGAAAACATGCCCTAGTTTTGCAGGACTGTATACATTTATGAATCCTCACTCTATTATCACAGCCTTTTTATATACCTCTGTGGTTCTGGACTGGTGGGTGAAGTATAAATATTTAGGTCTACATCACATCATCTGTGAATTTAGGCAAAGTTTCTGTAAATACAGCATGGTTTATCTGGCAGTACAGTTTTGCTGGAATAGTGTGATGATTATTCCTGTTAAGGTTATAAATAAACTGGTAAATATAAAAAGAGGAAAATTATGGAAATGGCTGCTACACTAGAGGCAAAATTACGAAGCTCTTGTATTTGTAAAAAGAAGTGCCCATGTCTGTCTTCTTTCTGTTTACCCTTTTACCATTTTTACTGTGTAGGTTTTAAATGTTGTTTATTAAACTTACTAGGTAACTTATAAAATTTAAAATACTTACTTGCTTATAAGATGTTTTGAGTACAAAAAATGACATATTTTCCAGTGTTTGTTCTTGAACTATTTTCTTGTCATTTTAGGGAAAGTGTATTACTCCATCTCACTATAAAGACATTGTTGATGAACGGTCTATCATCAAACTATGTGGTTATCCTCTGTGTCAAAATAAACTGGAAAATGTAAGTTGCTTTTCATTAATGCTGTTATCACAATTTTGATTCTCTTGCATTTTCTTTTTAAACGATTCAACAAAGATTAAAATACTGCCAAGTAATGGGCCAGGCATCATATCACTCCATTTCAGTATAATCCTTCTTAAGTGAGAGGTAAAATTAAATTAGAAGACAACAGTTACTATATGGTAAATCAGTTAACATCTGCTTGACAGTGATAAAGATCAATGAGTTATGGCTTCATGGCCTTCCTTTGTGCATGAGAAAATTTTCTAATCTTGTTCTTTTGTCAGTATAGCCACAAGTGTCTGTGAGAAGGATTGAACTGAAAAAATAATACAATGCAGGGATATTATTATGTGAATACATATACATCTGCTGTAAAAATGTATGTCAACTGTATAAAAATCTTAGTCAGACTTCTTTTAGCAGAACTCAGTTCAGTTAGATACCTGTGATGTAATACCAGCGGTACACGTGATTATCTGGAAAAAAACCTACTTGAGTACAAAAAAATTTGCTGGTTTGGACTTCATATATTTACACAGAAGTTCACTTTGAAATTGTATTACATTTTACAGAAGTTCCTCTCTGGGTTTGTCTGGGTAGTGGTGGGGGTCTCTGACAGTACAGTCTCACGTGCATATAAATAGATACAAATTAAGGAAGGGCCTGTCTGTCATTGCTCAGCACTTACACGTGAGGAAAGTGTCTGCCATGGCAGCTCCCTTGTTTTATGTTCAGCACTGACTTTCTTGTAGATCTGAAGTTGTCTTCTACTGATGATGAGATATATATGATTAAAGATAAATTACCATTCTTACAGGTGAGAAGGTACAACATCAGAATTGAGAGAAAAGGTAGTTGTAGTATGCAATTTAGTTAGAACATATTACACTTAAGAATGAAGCTTTCTGTATAGTCACCATGAAAGTAACAGTCTTGCTGGTGAAAACATTCTGTTTTAGGTGCCAAAGCAGAAGTACAAGATTTCAACAAAAACGAACAGGGTTTATGATATCACTGAAAGAAAGGTATGATAACAAGTCTGTTTATAGAATGTGTTTAGTAGTTGCAACGTCAGAAATGCGTTTTGTAACAGCATTAATATAGTGGCTTTGACTTAAAGCCAATATGTTTGGTTCTTACAAAAACAATTTTCACGAACAGTTGGAAGGTTTTTGTGCATTTCAGTTTCTAGGTGCTGTCTTTGGTAAAACAAACCCACATATTTTCTATATTTAAACATTACATGGAAAATTTTACCTGGATAGCACTTTGAATGTGGTACAGCTGATCTGTGAAAGACATTTGTGACACATGGTTGTATAAAAGTCATCTTTGCCAGTTCACGGGATACACAGTCACCTACAGATGCTTAGACATTAAATTGTAAGATAAATGTTTCCAGTTACAGAACAAATTTCTTCAGTATCACTAGTATCCATTCCTTTCCTCTGTTTACAACTCCAAGATACATGAAATTCTAGGAATTGCTTTTTTAGGCAACCAGGCAAGACTCCGAGAAGAAGTGGGATGCTTTGTCTTCTTCCCTTGTGATACAAGTGTGCAAGTCAATTTTTCAAAGATGCTGCAAAATTTTAGGTGTTGTTCTAAGTATTGCAAAAAAACAAGTTCTGTTGCTGACCAAAATTTTCGTTATTAAACACCTGAATTTTATTGCATGTCTTTTAAACTGTATGACTGTCTTGCGTTATGGCTTGTTCTTTGAACAGTTTGTTGGGGGTTTTTTAATTATTTTTATGTACTGATTTGCTTCTCAGTATGTAATGAAAGTACAAAAAGCAGAAAAATGGGAAAAAAGAAGCTAAAAGTGGCTTTTGGGGAATAGGATAGACTTATTTGATATGTTTGGTTTTTCAGGTGAATTAAAAACCTACTCATAGTCTTGAAAACAAACATGAATTGGTACTTAATACAGGCATAAAAACAATTACTTTTGTACCTTTCTATGAGTATTGAAGTTGGCTTTAGTCATATCTTTTTGGTTTCTTTTATTTCCAGTGCTTTTGCAGCAACTTTTGCTATAGAGCATCTAAATATTTTGAAGCTCAAATTTCTAAAAGTCCAGTATGGATGAGAGAAGAAGAAAAGTAAGTATAATCTTATACATTCTTTGCTCTTTTTGAGAATATCACTTCTCTGTGCAAGCTGCAATGCTAATTAATTAGCTGAAGTGCACCAGTGTTATTTGACTGAAGCAGAGGTAACTGATGTTAAACTTAGCACAGTGTTCCTTTTAAATGCATATTACTGAGCCACTTCTGCTTAGCAGACATGACCATGTTTTGATCACCCTTGGCACAGCACTTGGCATTGGTCTTCAGCTTAGACTGCGAATGCTTGCATCTGAAAGCAGACTACACCATGAAGAATTTCTTTGTCCTATCTAAATTTCAGATTGCCCATTTCACGTTTTCCTGCAATACCCATTTTGGAACAGTGTAATGCACTCTGTTCCTAGCTTAGGAGACACAGGCTTGCAGTAATGAGTGGAGCCAATGGGTGTCACTGTTGAACAGTAAGGACTTGCATAGAGAATGTTCTGCTGAATTCATTAAACTTTCATTCTCCAAGACACTACTTGTCATAGTCTCCTGGTTTTCAGCAAAAGGAACTAGCTGAATTTATAGGTGTGAGCTCATTTTCACAGTCATAGGAAATAGGATACTCAGCAGTGTTTTAAAATCTCCATCATTGGAGGTTTTCAAGATTTAAACTCCATGAATTTGTGGCTGATCAAACCTGCTGCTGGTGACAGTTGCATTACAAGCAGGAGGTCAGACTAGAGCCTTCCAGAGGTCCTTTCTGACTAACATTGATGTGACTTGCTGATTGTGTTAAATGTTTTTCACTGTAACAGCCTGGTGCTGCAGGCACACGAGTCCCTCTCTGTGAACACATGTGCAGAAACCTGCTCTCATAGCCTTGCTTTGAACAGTGGGTGTTGGGCCACAGGATCCTCAGACATCCCTTCCAAGCTCAACTATTTTTGTATTTATGTGTATTTCGAGAGAATTGATTTAGCAGGAAAGTCTTCATTCTGTGTCTTCTTTTTGCAGACCACCAGACATAGAGCTGCTGAAGGAGGGACAGAGGTACACTGACCAATTTTATTTTTTTTTTATATGCACCTATACTTAGAAATTTTAGTATCATATTAGGTGAAATGGGAATCTTTGATTTCCTGTATTATAGAAAAGACCTTATTAGAACCTACACAATGTTTTTTTTCTTTTGTGATTCTAACCCAGCATATTTGATCTGTATGATTTAGTGTACAGCTGCTCTTGGATTGTGTATCTCAATTGAGCCCGTTGAAATCTGAAACAAAGACACTGTTTGTATTTTACATATTTTATGCCATCTATTCTTTATAAAGAAAATTGTGCCAATTACATGTGATGAAAGCTTCTGTACTTCCTAATCTAAAATGTCTGTATCAGTCAAAATGAAATCACACCACTCTGTCATCTCTCTGTACCTCCCTGTGTATTGAGACTTTTTGTTTGTTTTCTTTTGCAACCCGCGGCCATTAGGTGGCAAACTTGCATATGGTCAAACAGCTCTGCTGTCCCTCTGATTTTAGGGTACCATATTCCTATTTATTTTAACATACCTGTCTTTGTTTTAGAATTGCAGTATTCATCATGCTAAGTCTGATATTATTTTACTGTCCTTAATAATATTTTATTTACTTTTCTAACTGACAATAATCAGCTGAGAACTCCCTTCTTTAAATAGTCTCTGTACTTGTCATCTTGATTGTAGAACAGTACAAATCTAAGTTCAAGAAGACTTTTAGAAGAGCAGCTATGATATTTAAAGCAAAAATCATTCTTCTTCTCTAAGGGGAAAAATGCTTTGTTTATCATTCTTACATGAGAATGAAAAGCTACTGCAGGTAACACCCATTTCTTATTTTGTTGATGGCTTGTGTTGTCTGTTACAGTGGACAGTCTGGAGAAGAGGTGAAACTACGTGATGAAGTAATCAAAGCATCTGACATTGAAAATCCTAGGATACCTTCAGAGCCATGTGAAGCTGGTTCTCATGACACAGCCAGTGAGAGCAGCAGTGATAATGAGCAAGAATTTATTTCGTCCGTCCTACCAGGAAGTCAGTCAAGTTCAGCCAATTTTACACAGCAATTGCCCAGAAAAAGCATCCTCAAAAAAAAGCATGCTCAGAAAGTCTATCCCAGCCCTAAAACTGAAGATTCAGATGTGGTAGAAGCCACTGAACAACTCTCTCATTGTAAATTAGATGCTCAGGAAGAAGTGCATGCTTGCTCTGTTCATAATGAAATAACTGCGCCACCTTCAAAAAATACTGCTCTAGGGAAATCAAGTGCTTCACAAATCTGTGAAAATACCTGTGGATCACAAATAGTTTTTCTAGGTGTGAGCAAAAGAGGGGCAGAACATCTTAGAAGAACACTAGCTAACTCAACAGAATATAGAAAACATGAACTGAGGAATCCAGTTAATTCCAAAGGCAGTTTACTGGAAGTGCTTAGGCACACACTTACGGAATGGAGAACTGAGGAAACTTTAAAATTTCTCTATGGCCCAAACTATACTTCTTTGTGCTCATCAGAGTGCATAGCACCTGCCAGCCAGGAGACTGAAGAACTTGATGAGGATGACTTAGATACAGCTGATGATCTTAACACTGTTGCTGTAAGAGAGTCTGAAAACAGCTTGAATTATTCTTTACCTTTCACAGGCCCGGGTGGAATAGTTAAGCCTGTGCCTAGTTACGAAAAGTTAAAAGAAGAAACGGAGTTCCTAGAACTCCGAGTGAAAGAGTTCTATAAAGGGAGGTGTATCTTGGCTGAAGAGGCAGCAACACATTCACAGAAAGAGGAACATCCAAGCACAGACAAAGTAAGTGTCCAGTGAAATAGTTTGGAGGCTCTGTAAAGCCTGAATAGGCCTTCAAAGAATTATTACTTTGTTTCTGCCATCCTAAGTGGGTGTCTCACACAGGGAAGAAGAAAAGTATGCTGCACACTGTATGTTGGGTCAAATTATGCAAGTTTCTGTCCATTAAAAAATTACAGGTTGGGTTTTTTTCTATTCAGAGATAAGAGTAATCTTATGTTTAAACATTCATTGATAATCTGTGGCTGTTTTGATGCATTCACTTTAATTAAATACTAGGTTATAGCTGCTAAGGTGTTTTGTCTAACACAGGATGATCAGCACGAAGATCTCACCTTCCCACTTGTTGATTCCAATGCACAAATGCAGATTAGAAAGCGAATTGTCCTTGAAAAACTGAGAAAAGTGTAAGTATCCTTTACTTTGTTAAATGTCAATCTGAAGTTGGTGCTCCTTCATCATCATTTTAAGTAACAAACACACTGTCCAAGGATGGGCCTGGCTTTTTCTAGGTGGCCTTAGTCATAACTTAAACCCAATATTGTCCAAAAGCACTTATTTATTTCTGTGACGGTCACCTGTGGTACAGTTGCAGATGTCAGTTTGCATGGTCTGCATATACCAACTGTTCAGTTTTAAACTGAAAAACCTGAAGTTGGTTGGGAGGAGTGCAAATATTTGTCTTGTACATTAAGCATACTGTTACTGGTAAAAAAATCTACAGAGAAGGAAGCAATGTTTTCAAACCTCATAATCCTTTAAGAAAGGTGTGCGAGCCTCAGACATGTAGTTTCCTTCTCTATTGTTATTTTTGAACCAAGTAAATATAAACCTTTGAAAAATTTATAAGGCCTGTAGTTCCAATCCTCATAATTGTAAGAATATCTTCTCAGAACTGAAATGTGAAATGAATAAGAAAATGTAGGTAGAACTGTATTTAATTTCTTCTTCACGTTCATTCTGAACTAGAGCTTATTTTTTAAAACAAGCTGTTGTGAAGTGAAGGTGGCAGCCTAAACACCGCTCAGAAGCTGCAATGAAAACTACAGGCCTGATCTGCTGCACAAAAGTCACTCCTTTTCTTTTTACTAACTTTGATAAGCTTTGGCAGAAGTCCTACTTGAGAAGAAATAAGAAAGAGAAGAAAATGCATATTGACTGGTGTCTTTTGCCTCTTAGATTACCTGCGGTTTTGGGCCCTCTTCAGATCGCTCCAGGTGATGTTTACACAGAGCTGAAAAATCTTGTCAAAACTTTCCGGTGAGTATTGGTCCTTATTTAGAGATTCTTCTTAATTGATTAATTAAACATGCCGATGAACGATTTGCAGATTTGCCCTTTTCTAGCTGTGTGTTCATGTAGGTAATGTCCCATTCCCTGTGGACTAACAAGTCAACCCTTTCCCTGCTCCTGACAGTGACTAGGTCACCAGGAGTATTTGTAGATTTTTAAAAACTAGGCCAGTGGTCTCTGGAGGATGATGGTGAGTCTTTTAAAGGTTCTGCTACCTTGTCACCTCCTATTAAGCATGAGTTTCTGACATCTGTCGCTTTCTTTTGCTCTGGCTCCCTGCAGCTGGGCTAAATGGTTTTAATGTGATTAATGATTGTTACCAGTAACTTCTAGAGTCAGGAAGAAGGTCCAGTTTGACCTGTCTTGTTCCTGATTTTAAAGGGAAGTAGATTTAGTGGGCACTTTTACCATCACAGAGGAAGCTTCTGCTTCAGTCAGTAGGACTAAAGACAGTATTTGGAAACAGTGAGATAAAGGAGGGAAAACAGAATGGTGGTAACTTCTCTGAATGTTTTTGGGTTTCCTTTGGAACACAACTCTTGTAACTTGGACCTAGATCATATCCTGCATCCTCAGGTGTTGTCAGGAAAAGAACAACAGCAATTGCTAACTGTGTGTACATTGTCACTCTTGAAACATCGTTCTCACATCCTCAACCTGCGTGAGGTTTACATGTGAATTTTCCAGAACTCATTCATGCAGCATTTGCCACAAGGAATCTGGGCTAGAAGGATGCCACTAAAACACAGATGTCTATATGCAGGATTTCTTACTGTGGAAAATTCTCTATTCCCTTCTGATGAGTCTGGTCATGATCTCTTTTATTTAAAAGAATTATTAGTGTTTGAACTTGATTCTATGATTGCAGTCTTTTAAGTCCTGATTAACCTTTTATTTTAACAGCAACACTGAAACCAGGGAAGATATTTTTGGTTATATTGAAGCAACATATATATACTGTATAGATATCTGTTATTTGAATAAGATCTTCTGTCTTAAAACAGTTTAGTAGCTCTGCAGTTTAAATTCTTAATAGTCACTTTAGCTTATGGATTGATAAAACTGGAAAAACTACGTTTGGTCTCTTTCAGTCTGCTTTTGTATGATTGATTATGTAAGAAGGCCTGGAGGTTCTCAAAAGCAGAACTTCTATTTTAAATCATTTTTACTGTTCAAAGACAATGTGGCCTGAATATAAAGTTTTAGAAGTAGTTTATAAAAATAAGACTTGAAGCCAAAATAGACTTCTAAAATGTATATATATGAAACATATATATACATATACATATGTACATATATATATATATATATATATATTTTTAAAGAGTGGAACCAAATTAATTTATTTGGGCTTTGATCCCAATACTTAGCTCATGTAGCAATAATTTATCATATTTTAAAAGTCTCCCCTGATCTATTTCTGATCCCTTAGATAATGCTTTTTGAGTTTATTTTTATCTCTTTTTTTGTTAGGAAGTATGTTGAAGGTAATAGAAGCAAGGTCTTGGGGCTCTCTTCCTGTGAAGATTCCATATCAGTTGCTTAGAATTTCAGAATTTGGAGTGAGGGGTGGTTGAAGGCAAGTTATATAATATATATATCTATCTCAAAAAAATGGAGTTTTGTCACTAATAGTGAAATAATAAAAACAGGAAATAGGGAAGCAATAAAAACCTTTGGGCCCTTTCTCCTTCTTACATTACTGATATGGAAAGGTCTCTTGATACACAAGAACTCGCTAAGATGAAGGCATAAATTTGAATCTCCAGTTCTGTATGTAGGTTTAAATTTATTTAATATGAGTGCTCTCTCAAGCTTTGGATTTAATGTTTTGGCAGGGAGACTTGGGATAAATTTTAAATGGCATTTGTATTTACAGGGTTTAGAAATTTCTTTGTTAATATTGTTCACATACTTAGTGACTACGGAGGAGCACTGATAAATGCTCGTGCTTTTTCCTGCTTTTTGTACTGGAAATATTGCAGGCTGAAGAACTTACCAAAGAGGGTAGTAGATAAAACACATGGCTGTAGTAGAGCTGAGCTGAAGAAGGGTAAAAGAGCATGTGGTGAACTAAGCAACAACAATTTTCAGCTCCATTGGTTTTTAAAGGAACACTTGCAGTTCAGCCTCCTTTGGGCAGCATTTTATTCAATCACCACTGCTAAGAAACACACTAGAGAGATCTCAAGAGACATTTTAGAATGGTTAGAGCTCTTCCCAAACAAAGTCCCTCAGTGCCTGTAAGCTTTTGTTACGAAAACTGAGATGTCAAATAACTCTCCAGAGTGTGTAAGGGCACTTTGTTAAAAGATCAAGAGAAAATTAGGTACTTATATATAAACTGAGGAGAAATGATTATGTTTGTGTATGTGTGGTTGTTTTTTTAAGGCATAATATTTCATATTGAAAATAGATTTTCATCTGTATTTTATGGTTTTTAGGGGAGTAAATATTTTGCATAATAATGTTGGTGTCCATCTTCTAATCCCCATTGCACAGTGTTCCTTTGGTCAAATTGTTCCCTTGAAATTCCAGGAAATGTAATCCAGCTGAGGAAAAGGTGTCAGCTCCAGCATTGCTGAGTTTCTTTCCTATAACTTCAAGTTTGTTGTGGTCCCTCTCCAAGTTCTTGCACAGGGCACTTGGGCAGTGCTTAAATCTGCTGCCACAGCAGGGACTGTTTACAAATCAGACTATCATTTGCAGTTGATGGTAATTAAATGGGAAGACAACTAAAGGAAAAGAAGTAAAACCAACTGTGTATGCTCTTTTTTGTAATTTTTGGGTTTACTGTTTTTGTTTACTGGTAACTTTCACCTTGGACTCCTCTGTATTACTACAACTGCAGTATTAGAATCCCCTTCCTTTGCAGGCTGGGTGCTAGTCAGTTATTGGGAGGACATTTGGGATGGAATTTTTATGCATCTTACTCTTGAGTCCTGTATCGTGTATCCTGTAAACTTCTGCTACTTGGATCCATCTGCTCAGTCTGAGCTCCTTCATAGAGTATTGAAACTGCTACGTGGGTCCTGCTGGGGGGTGGGAGCACTGAAGTCTGTCTGGCTGCAGTGTGTCTTGCTGGAGTGAACCACAAGACCCACAAACTAACAACTAAGCGACCCACACAGCTATTTGGGATATCAGACTTTCCTGGCTTACGTCTGCTGCTCTGCAGAGGCCAAGAAATTAGAGACATTCCATTTTGGAAAGTTGCATATTGTTTTCTTTCTTTAGGTAAGCGAGGGAGAATTTAGCCAAACTCTTTAACAGAAAATACTCCACTGCAAAACTCAAATCACATACAAAAAGTTTTGTACAGTTTTAAGATTTCCACATTATATGCTTATGACAGAAGTCTAGAGACCTCTCTTTCATGGATTGTTCTGAAGTAACAGTTTTGGCTAGAGGCAAGGCAAAGATTTAATGAACCATTCTTACAGAGGCCCTGCAGTTCCCTGTTTTCTGAAAGCTTTGCTCTTCAGAGGCCTTGGTGTTGACACACAGCTTGTTTTTGAAAGCGACTGCCCTTCCACTGCTCCTTGTTATTTAAGGCTTCACACCTGTAGGTTGCTAGCTTTACTCTGATCTGCCTGAAATGTGGCTTTTTTTTTCCAGCTGCACAAATGTTTTAGGACAGGTGTTGTACTGAAAGGTTACTCATTGTGGAAGCCTGACTGTTCATCCAGTCCGGTGACAGCAGGACAGCAGCAGATCCATAGTGCTGTATCCTGCTGGTTGTCTGTGTCTTTTGACTACCTCCTTCATAAATAGTATATTGATGGCAATGACTAGTGTTCAGACCTTGCCAATCAATACTAACATTGAATAAGAGTTAATTGACACAAATAACTGCATCTCTCAGTTTGTGGACAAGAATGACACCTTCCTGTGCTCTAATCAATAATAACTCCTTGTAGAGCATTGAAATAAAGCTGCTTTCTCTATTTGACAGAGTTTTCCCAAGTGGCCTGGAGCTGTCTCTTTCATTGTGTCTCATCATAGCAGATTAACTGGAATGTTACATATGAATTGCCTGTCAGGATGATTCCATCAGACATTTCTTGGTACTGTTTATCACTGTCATGAGTGTTGAGTCAAGATGTTCAGCCTTTGTTTTGGCCCTTGCTCTACAGCCAGAAAAATGTAACACTTAACACTTTACCAGGTACAAGCTTTGTTACCAGATCAATTAGCTATTTCCAATAATAATTGCTAAACATTAATCTTTTAATAGGAAATATAATCTGTGTTTGCCAGAACTGTTGGTTCTAGTTAGATATGACAATTCCTGCTTATGTAGGGCAAAACATTGTTTTGCCTTTCATAATTTAATAAAACTCAGGCTGTTTAGACACTACTTGAGGAATCATTGCTTCAAAATCTTAGTTTGGTTTGAAGATTTGGAGATTTGAGGAGAAAAATAGGATAATATCATTTTGATCATTACAAATAGATAAATGCAAATATAAAAGGTCTTATTCATAACTGCATTTTTAATGACCACTTTGAACATAATTTTAGGGAATTAGTTAACAGAATTTGAATTTCAACAGTTACAAGTACAAATACTTCTATTTTCTCAATTTGTAAATTTTTTTTCTTTTTTTTTTTTTTTGGTAACTATATACTTGCCCAAAGTAATTAAAAGGTTTTTTTTAAAGTAGTCTTACTGGGGAAGAAAACCCTGGATTTGTATTTGTTGCCAAACAGTTAATTTTAAACAAGCTCTTACCTTCACCAGTGCCTGTAGGAGTGAGTATGAATAACAGGGTATCTTCATTCTGGATCTGAGTTTGTGCAAGGCTTCACAGAAGGGAAACTGAGAGCAAGAAGGAAGCAAACACTGGGAGGCACTTGCCCCTCATTATTTCTGTTGGATGGTGCCATCTGTCTGAATAAAATTAAATCTGCTGGCTCTTTTGGGTGCCTGCCCAGCCACTGCTGCGTTTTTAACTGTGACTTTTCCATGAAATTGCATGTCTTGGGTCATGCCTAAATTCAGCCATAGCAATTCACACGTGAATTGTTGTAGGACAGGTTAGCACTTAACTTAGAGCAGATCTGTTTTATTAGGCAGTTCAGCCAAGGGGGTCAGCTGGTTTCAGTGCAGCAGCACTTTGGTTGCACACCCATGAGGTTCTTGATTCACACCTCATTTATATTTATATGGCTCTTATATTTCCTCTGACTCCCATTGCATAAGTTAGAATTCTGGGTTTCCATTTTAAAAACAAGAATCATCAGAGGATTGGTGTTGGTATCTTATAAAATTCAGTCTGTTTCCACATAAGCTCTCACAGCAAATTTGGATCTGAAGCCAACAGGAGGAAAACTAAGTGTAAGAAGGTCTACGTCTTTTCAGAAACACACGTGCAGTTGTGGAGAATTTCCCAGTGGGACTCACAGCAGCCAGGACTATTTGTGAGCATATTCAAAGAATTAGCTTCTTTTCAGTCTTTCCCATTCCACTTTCATATAGAAAAAAGAGACATATTGGGAATTTTGCAATTCTTCCATTACAGGATGAAAGAAGCCTGAAAGTTGGTGCATTGCTCAGATACAGCTGTAATTGCTTCATTATAACTCAGTGTATTAATGGTAGACTTAAAATTCAGCTGTTAAAATCTGTTTACTTTTACTCTGAAATGTAATGATTTTTTTTTTTAATTACTTTTCAGGTTGACAAACAGAAATATTATTCACAAAATGCCTGAATGGACTCTAATCGCTATTGTTTTGTTGTCTGTGTAAGTACCTTTCAATGTCAAATATTCTTATATGCAACTGTCTTAACTAGCCTATTGAAACAAGATTTAATCTTCAGATAAAAGAAGATAAGATTTATTGAAATTAACTGTGGAATCAGGAGAAATATTTTTCTCGTGAAAATGAACTAAATTCTCTTGACAAAACAGTATTGTCCGACTTGCAACAAATGTTAAGAATGGGCAATAACTTTTTAACAATAACTGAATGTTATGTTAAAAAAAAGAAAAGTTAAGCCTTAGGGGGTTTTAAGGAGGGCTGATGGGATGAAGGAATGTAATTCACCCTCTTCCATTTGCTGCTGAGAGACATTCTTCCCTTCTCTGATGATAGGACAAAATTACGTGTGTTGTATTATTTGGATTTGGTATAACTGTCAAGCTTTTCATTTTTCATTTTACTTCTAATTTCTTAAAAGGTTTTACTTCTATGATTAAAGTCAAATTATTTCCATAAGGACATGGTATGCTTCTAAATACGTTTGTTTAAATATTTTAGCAAACTTCTTTTAGAGGGGAAAGCCTTTTTAGCAACTCCCAAGGAATACTGGGAGCCAGTATTTTATTTTTGTGAGGATTAGCTTTATTGCTCAAGATTATGATATTACAAGGCCACAGTTCCTTGTTAGCTTTGTTTTACTTACTGTAGAATTAAATCCTTTACAAGGATTTTCCTGATGAGAAGCCTGATTTTTATTATAGTGTCTTCGAGTAAACTTCTATACAAATGCATAATCTGTAAAAGCAGTATTCATGTGCATCGAGTTCCTTAATTTGTATTTTGCAAATTCAGGTACATTTCTGAGGTTAAAGACACAAACTTTGCAGTGTGTTAAACAAACACAAATTTGTATTAAATATTTAACATTAGTTCACCTTTTAAGAAATCACTGGTGGTTTCACACCACCGGTGTCAGACACTGCCTTTCAGTAGGGCTAAATCATCAAGCAATCTTCGTATGTCTTGAGCTTAAATTACAAGATTGCAAAAATCTTTATTCCAGAGCCTGTTTATTACTGCACTGCTGCTGCTTCTTTTGGGCTTCCTGGGTCACTGGAGCCTGTAGGACAGAGAAGTGCTTACAGACATTCACAGGTCAAGAAGTATTGTGGGCCAGCCTCAGAGCATCCCCAGCACTGCACTTACTTTCCTTGATATTACTTCAGTCTGACACATTGTTCTGGCTTTACTGTCCCAAGGAAGACTGTACCAGCAGGCATTAGAGCAGGCTTCAGCGAGCCTTACATCTGTGTCACCCAGCCAGATACCGCTCAAATGATTCATTAAATCAGAACACAGAAAGTAACTTTACTTGAATGCCTTGGCATAAATTTTTTATCAACTATAAGAACAAATCTTTTGTCATTTTTACTATATATTCTTATGGTTGAATTGTTAATTTGTGAAACAGATCTTATGAATTTTTCAAGTAGTTTCTGTATAGTTAAGGAAATGGTGACTTTTTGATCAGAAGTTAAAGTATGTTGCTGGTCTCTGCATATGATGAGCTCTAAATGTTTACATAACTAATGATTGTTTTACAGGTGCTTTAAAATGTTATACAAGTAGTAGGCAGTCTTGGTAACAATCAGTGTAAGCAGAGAACCAAGTCTCTTTTTACTTTTGCTTTCTAAGGGTCTACCCCTAAACAAATGAATTATATTTGATGATAAAGTACAGTAGACTTTATTTCTAATATTATTTTAGTGAAATAATTAATAGAACCTCTGTTGACTTCGCCTTATTGTAAGGTTCTTGCAAGCTCATGATCTTGAGATTGTGAACAACTTCTCTCAGGTGCCTCTTAGGAGAGGATGTAGGTGGATTAGAACAAGTGGTAAGATTCCTCTCACAAGATGACACGTGTTGCATCATTTCCAGAAAGATTAAAGCAGAACACTTAATTATTTGGGAATTCTAGTCAAACTTCAATATTTAGTGGAAGCCAAGAGTGTGCAGGGAAAAGCTACTGAGGACCTGGGCAACCCCTCACATACAGATCCTCGTGTTGTGGCCTTTTCTCTCCTCCTGCAGTCAGCCAGGAACCTGTCATATATTACTAATATTTCTCATAAAAAGAAGTACGCCCTGTTAAGTCTTCTCCTTTAGCTGTACTGAGAGATTACACACATCACAGCATGTGTAATGTCATTTATATCATGGAGTTGTTTGGGGCCTGAGTCAGAGAGGGTCTTTATAAGCTCCAGTCCTATTTTGGCAGTATTTATTCACAGGTCTTTTCCTGGTTTCAGACATAGAACGACCATTTTACTCCCAATACTAAACAGCATAAACTACACCCTGGAAGAGGATAATACTTCCTCTTTCCAGGTGGGTGGCAGACCATATCACAAGTACCCCAGGGTGCAGGGAACAGAGATTACAGAAGGCAGAGTGAACATGGCTTTCAAGGTATACCTCAAAAAAACTTATGAAGACTTCAAGTATTTTTTGTTTTGTATGGAAGGGGGCAGGGTTGTTTTGTTTCAATTAGCAACTGTTGGACTTTGCTTGCACCCCATTTTGTGCATCAGTGTTGTGGCTCACCACTTCCTTCTCGTGTATGGCTAGAGCGTGCTGGGGACTTGGTGTACTTAACTCCACAGTGCAGGCTCAGAGTGCCCCGACCCTTTTTGTGATAAGCTGCTGGACAGAATAACTGTTGTCATTGCTGCTGTATTGAATTCAAGTGTCATCAGTGCTTCATACTTGTATTATGGTATGACAGTGCTGTCCTCTCCTCACACAAGTGTGCATATTAACTCTTTGTAGGATACAGCAAGATGTCATAACGCTGAATTTTGGTGCTTAAATTAGAACTTGGGCTCACTATAGTCTGCTGGTCCTTGACAAGCTGTTAAAAGTACTTATGTGCCCCTGAGTCTACTGACTATTAAGGAAAGCTGGGCTTCTCATTCATTGCTCTGAAATGAAGTGCCTGAAATGGGACAGTGTGACTGTTGTGACTGTAGGTCTCAAAGTATAAAATGTTGGAGGACGCAGCAGTGGAGTATTTCATGTTCCTAGTGAGCAGTTGGATTTATTCAATCAAATTATTGTATAAAATATGAACAGCCAGTCTCAGCCTTTATTGAAAATGTAGCCTGAGGCACTCCCATGACCAGCACATTCAGCAATGCTGAATTGACCTTCTTAGAGTACACTTTGACAGCCAGAGAATTATGTTCAAACAATTGCATTCATGCCTGTCATGGAGTGGGTGACTCTTAAAAATTATCCGTAGATCAAATTTCTTGTTTATTGTAATTTGTAGTAATTTTGGCATTGGTAGATTCCTATTTCTTCCTGTAGCAATTTTTAATATGTTAAACAGTTTTCTGTTCTAGTAATAGCTGCTTTATAATGTATTGTAAACCAGAATGCAGAAGTTGCATCTTTTTCCCCCAAAGAACATTGCAAGAAAGCAAATGAAGCAGATAAATAGATACAAATACAGTAGTGCAAGAAAGAATGGAGAAGGCAATGTGAAGATTGGTTGCTGTACAAGCATGGGCACTTTCTGTTTTTAGTGTATACCCCTGGCACAGACTAATGGAAAGCTTTCAAGATATTTTCAGGAAATGTCTGCTTTCATCTTACTTATCTGAGCTGTCTGGTTCCAGTGAACTGTGGTCAGCTTCATCTACAAAGCCCATGCAAGAGGTTCCCCCGCTAAAAGCTTTGAAGCATTTCAAAATGTTCTGGGATTAGTTTATAAGCATTCGGCTGCAGTATTTAAACAAACTCAAAATGACCATGATCACTAAACAAAAGCCATCATTATATGAGTGCAGCCACTTTAGATAAATGTGTCATGTGGAGATGTACTCTAGAGGTTTACTCTCTTGGAGATAACAGTTCAGGAACTGGAGAATCTTGGGTTCAAGTATGTGTTTTTACTTCTTTGCACACGAGAGCACATCTATTGCTCAAGGCTAACATTTCTAAATTATTTTAAGAGGAATTCAGATTTTTGTGATATCACTACTGTGTTCTTATCTGAAAGTGTCTGAATGTTTGAAATGTACAAATCTAATGTACAAATACATATAGGATGTGAATCAGACTTGTATGTGGTTTCTGTAGGAAAAAGAATCACTCTGCAAGTCAGCTGGATGATCTTTTATTTAGCACATTTGATGATGAAAGTTTGGTTCCAGGTTTCAGCTGAGAAAAATCATTTATTATTATTAAGCTAGAAATAGAATTATTTACAATTTTGAAACAGAACTTGCAGGACCAAGAATCCAAAAAGTCTTTTTATAAAAACATTTGAATGCAGTTATAGTGTTGTCTCTATCTGCAGAGTTATATTACTGTGTAAAATAAAGGCAAGTTTGTCTTAACATTTTAAAAATACCTTCTTCCCTTTTTCTCTCTTAATTTTAGGTTGTCATTTGGTAAGTGTGAGCTCAAATAGGTTTTCTGTTAAACAATTCTTAATTCTGCTAAGCAGTTTTGTTAAGCTTACTTACTCATCAGCACTTTCTAAGCAAACTCAAAACTGCTCATTTGGCAGACTGTGGACATGATCAGTATTATCTTAGTTCTTCCTAGCATGTTCCAGTAATATTTAGGAAACATACATGGAACAGTATTGTAAGGGATTTCAGGGTTGTTAATTGGATATTAATCAGTGCCAACTTTAAAATAATTTAATATCTTCATCATTCATAAGGGAGGAAACAGATGGAGAAACCTTAGCAGTTTGCAAGGAGATGTTTCTCCTGGCACAAAAAAGCCCCACTGTTGTGTAGTGCTGTTGTGCAGAAGTGCCCCTGGATTTCATTGCAGCCCATACAGCTGCAGTCGGTTTTCCGTTCTGGTTGCCTTCTGAATGGGAGATTTGGATGTGCTGTGTGACTTTGGTGTTTGCCCAGCACAAACTCTCTGAGGGGAGTCCGGGATAATTAGTTCCTCTTAACAGTGCTGGTCCTTGGCTTCATCAGCAGGAGTGGAGCTGTAGCACACACCGTCTCCT